ACAGTTCTAACAAAACCAGTATCGTCCAGACACCTTAGATCTCTAGTTTATGCGAGTCGGTTTCACTACCTACGTGTACCAAAGTCTCAAGTGTCTACGCAAACTCAACCCCAAGTAATTTATACTAGCAGTCAGCACCATCCTAAAACTCTTCTAAGCGAGCGACCGATGCAAATAAGTGTATGATCTCCAAAAAGATGAAAAATCATGAAAAGAGAGCTAAATAGCCCAAAAATATAAGACATATTTCCTTCTAAGTTAGGTGCTCCTCACCCGAGCATTTAGCCCAACGGCACGAAAAACTCATTGAAAATCAATGACATAAAATTATGATCAATGAAGAAGATCAAAAACAGAAATGAGATCATATTCACTAACAGGTCGACTTGCCATGAAAGTGTGCGGACAACGGGCTTAATGTGATTGCGCTAGAACAAACAGGGTGAACTTGCCGCGAGAACCTTGACACCAAGATACAGTAGCATGACTGAGACCGATTTGCATAAAAAGGAGACCTCCGAAGACTTGTAGTCCAGTGTCGTCATGATACTCGTCTTGTTCCTACCAAGAATCCCGGTTTTTCCAAACTCTGCGAACGAAGAAGTTGCCTCGTGCTTGCCGACTTTTCCATGTTTTACTTGAGGACAAGCAAAGATTCAAGCTTAGGGGAGTTTGATAACACGAAATCATATAGATATTTTCATGCATAATTCAACTAAAATCTAACCGTTTTCGATCCAATTTCGGGTTATTTCCGTGTATTTGTCTGATGTTTTGCAGGTATTCAACGATCACGTCTAAACAAGGCAACATGAAGAAAAGAAGCAATCTCAGATGAAATATGGACGAAAAAGGAGTGAAAATACAATGAAAAGCGCAGCAAGCTGTTTTTGCTGATGTGACGACCGTCACAGCTTCATGACGACCGTCACACAGGTGACGACCGTCACACCTTGTGACGACCGTCATGCAGGCAAAAACGCCCCACTCAGATTACACGTCAAAAGAGCAGTTCCAATTCCCACAGAGTGGACCACTACTCCCTAAATTATCTGTCTCAAGGTCCATCATCTTCAGTGATAACCGTTGGGATTCCACTTCTATAAAAAGGGAAGCAGAGGACTTCAGAAAGTGTGTTGCATTCATACCACGAAGTGCTGCCGAATTTACTTCCCAGAGCATTATTTTCCAGTTTTATTCTTATTTGTTTCTCTTTACCTTTCCTTATTCCCATTTCCACTCTTCTGTAATTTCTATTTTATTGTACGATCAAATTGGCACTAAAGACCAGAATCCTGCCAACATCTGTGGAGGATCTGCCCAAAGGCCAATTGACATATTTACAGGTTTTCATTTTGATCGACTTCAGTTTTATTATAATGCAAATTATTATTTATTATTCTTATTTATATTTTATCTTTTCCAAATCCATGTCTAGCTAAACTTAGGTAATCGATATGTAGTAATAATTCGAATGGGATTTGATAACCACTGGTTGAAAAACTTTCTTTTCAAAAAGTAATTTATGGTCTGAGTGTTTAAAATTGATTCACTGAATAAACTTCGTCGCGAAAGCGAGAACTTATTTAAAAGTAGTTTTGCCACGAAAGTGGGAAATTAATTAAGATACGAACCAACAAGCGAAAGCTGCGGTAAGGTCAGATAGTAAAAACTAGGCATTTGTTTTAATAACAGCGAAAGCACTTTAAAATGAATTAGAACTTAGAGATTTCCAAAAAATAATTTTAACCCCAAACGGGATACGAAAGTGTACGTTTGGCCCTTAGGATTATGATTAGCCTCAATAACCATCGTGAGGCGAGAGTTTTCAAATCTCCATTTTCTGCTTGAATAAACTTTGAAAATTATTTCATACACCATAACTTATCAAATCCCTGAAGAACACAATTACTACGTATCGATTTAATTAATTATAATCTAAATAGTAATCTTAGTTCCCTTTTAGTGACAATCTTATTCCCTTAAACATATTCTACCTAGCTAAACATAGTAACTCCCGAGAACACTAGTTTGATTACGAGTCCCTGTGGGATCGATATTTATTATTACTACGCGATAGACTGTGCACTTGCAGTTAGTTGTATTAGACATAGAAAGTCGCGATCAATAACCCTCCTCCAACTCTCCACCTCATCACCCAAATATTCCCTTCATTAATCCCTTAACCATCACCTGCGACACCCTTTCCTTTTCTCTATTTCCTCTCATCTCCTCTACTTCTGAAAACCCTAACCCTTCTTCTTCTGCCGCTCCCATCACCACCATTCTTTCAACCTCCTGGAAAAATTCCTTCATCGCTGTCGTATGCATCATCTTGTCAAACACATAACAATCACCAAATAAAAAACAGTAATACTTTACCCATCACCATCCTCATCATCCGCCTGCCATTGAGCTGGCTCCGCTAACGTGACCACCATCACCGCCACCCCTTAAAATCCTTTCTCCGCTCCCATCGCCACATATCACCTTACCGTAAACCCCATCTCCCTTGATCTCCTTCCACCATCAAAATTGTCCATCGACCGCGTTCACTACGATTCACCACCCTTTCTCCGTTTTTTTTTACAAAATTTCCCCTTACATCTACTTCTCATAAAAACCACTGTGAACCTCCCGTAGAACAATTTTGAACGCCTTTTGATTCAGATCCTTCACCATCAATCGCAATTAAGATTCGGGAATTTCCTTCTGGTTTGGTTTCGATGCTGTGTTATTTATTTTTAGGTTCAATCACTGGTTCAAACGGTTTGGTTCGAATAGAGAAATTTTGATACTTACGGGTTGCTGCTGTTATGTTTCTATGATGTAAAAGGGTGACTTATGCTGCTGCATTGAAAAGGGGTTTTAAGATCTGTCAAAGAAAGTAGCAGCCGAACCTCTTCATCTATTTGGTCCGGCAACACTGCTTCATTCAAACGACAGTTACTCAAGTATCCAAGATACAACTTCATAGCTCAATACTGCAATAACACGACTCAACAAGTCTCTGATAACAATAGTTGTCCCACGTTCGGTAACATTTTCAACTAGGAATCTCGTTGCAATTTCGAACTTGTCTAATGTTCTAATTCTTTTTTGCATTTACAATTTATCTACTACCATGATGTCTGTTTCAGTTTTCGGTCAATTACATTGCATATCTGCTACTGCATAGTTACTGTCCTATTTCAATTTGCAATTTGAGCTTATTGTGTTAGGGATTGATTTTGATTACGTTTCGATTATATTAGGGTGTAATAAGGCAATATTTATGTAGCTACTGCTGTTGCTGCCATACTGAGATGAGATAGTACAAAATTAGTGAAATGTTGTTATTACTGTGTGAGTTTGTGATGGCCTGCACATGGTAAACCAAGGAGAAGTCAAAATTGGTGATTTTGGCCTCGCTGCGATTCTCCGCAGATCTAATGTTGTTCACTGTGTTGGTATGTAAACCAGAATGACTTGTTTCCTTTGAATAAGTCGATTATAACAAGCTCTATATCGATTTCATGTTTATTTTTTCTTTTGTTGTGTGTAGGGTTTTGTGGAGGACCAATTTGGATTAGGCTTAATTGCTAGGGCAATTGAAGAAGGGATATCGGTAATCAAACCAAATGGAATTATGATCTTTAATGTATGGGAGGCCGCCCAGGTCAAGCTGTTTGCAAACGATTGTTTGAGCATCGGGGTTTTCGCATTACGAAGCTTTGGCAAACTAAATACAAGGAGAAGATACGGTATTTGTAAAAATATACAAGGGATTAGTGCATTAAGTTTGTCGTAGTCTAACATTTTAAAAAAGATATGATTGAGCTTTGTTGACTGTTTGTAAAATCTCCCAGGTGTTTGATCTCTTTGATGAAAAAAAGAATGGTGTTATAGAACTTGAGGAGGTATAATAGCCATAGAGAGGTATAATATCAAGATAAGAGTTGCTTATAGTGCAACGGTTCACCAAGGGATAGTCTCAGGTTTAGGAATGGGAATGCTTCTCTTAATCGTTTTCTGTACTTATGGACTTGCCATGTGGTATGGTTCCAAACTAGTTATTGAGAGAGGATATAGCGGTGGAAGTGTCATTACTGTGATCATAGCTCTTATGACTGGTGGAATGTAAGTAAGACATTGTAACCTGATATAACATTGTTTTAGGCATAAGATTTTTGCTTGATGAAATTTTCATTGATTGGCAGGGCACTAGGACAGGCATCCCCATGCATAAATGCATTTGCTTCAAGACAAGCTGCATCAGACCCAGAAAGGGATCAGAGAACTGTTTTTGCCTACCAGGTTGATTGATTGCCTCCATTTTCATTTGTTTTAAATATGTAAAATATATACTAATTATGTTCTGAGTTATTGGGATATTTTTCAAAATTTTCCTGATGATTTTTTGTTTCTTGTTTGGTGTTCACAGATGCCTCTAAAAGCAACAGAGAGAGATGTATATGAGTTCTTCTCAAAAGCTGGCAAGGTTAGTTGCTTTTGACATATTGTGACAACATATCACCATTATTGATATTCCTCAATTATGATGAGTGACAACAGTTATATATGATAGAACAAACACATCTTACATGTATAATGAATATATGTTACTCTGAGCACTTGGTTTTTCCTGAAATAGTCCACTACTTTCAGTTTTAACTTTTAAGTAGGGCAGCCATGTATAATGAATATATATTACTCTGAGCACTTGGTTTCTCCTGAAACTCTTATTATTTATCTCCTCCCTTTTATCTAAAACTAACAACTTCAGAAGAATCCATCAAAATGATTTTTTATTTTAAATAAGTGATTTTTCTACAAAATAATCTATAACTTGTGATGGCCTTAACTTAAAGTCATTGTCGGTTAGTTAATATTGTGTATTTCGACTGTTTGATCCTTATGACAGACCTCACCTAATAGAATAATGCTTTGGTTCTTATTTTATTTTAAACCTGACAAAAATCAGTAAATACTGGACTATCTTCAGCATTCCAACACTCAAAATGATGCAACGACTGATGTTGTGTTTCTTGGGGATGGTTCTAATGCATTCTTCTTGTCAAAATGATGCAACGACTGATGTCTACATTGTTACTCTCAAACAAGCCCCTACTTCTCATTATCAGAATGAGTTGAAAACAGATTATAATCACTTCAGACATGGTACTTTTAGGAGAACTGCACTTCACAACCCAAGGTACACCATCCCTTTAACTTTCTTTGTTTTTAAGGTATTGAAAATGTTTATGTTGCATGGACTAGTTAGCTTAATGTTTTTTTTCAGACATCAAAATTTTACAAAGACATATAAGAGACATGGTTCTAAGTCTAACATCGCACAAGTTCATGACTCGTTGTTGAAGAAGGTGTTTAAAGGGGAGAAGTATGTGAAACTCTATAGCTACCATTACTTGATCAATGGATTTTCTGTGCTTGTTACTCAACAGCAGGTATGGTGTTGTTTTTCATTTTTTGAATCATGTTTGTGGCCGTCTTTAGATAAAGAGCTTATTTAAGCGCTTATAATTTTGAAATCACTTATTAAGGTGGAAAAGCTATCAAGGAGAAGAGAAGTGTCCAATGTGGTTTCGGATTTTTCTGTAAGAACTGCAACCACGCACACCCCAGAGTTTTTGGGTCTGCCACAGGGAGCTTGGTTTCAATCAGGTGGAGTTGAAACTGCCGGAGAAGGAATCACTATTGCATTTGTTGACACTGGCATTGATCCTACACACCCTAGTTTCTTGGATGATAAATCTGAACTTCCATTTCATCCTCCTCCTCGTTTTTCTGGCACCTGTGAGATTACTCCTGATTTTCCATCTGGTTCTTGCAATAGGAAGCTTGTTGGATCCCGTCATTTTGCAGCATCTGCTATAGTCAGAGAAATGCTTGATCCAACCGAGGACTATGCTTCTCCCTTCGACCGTGATGGCCATGGCACGTGAGTATTTTAGCAATTGCTCCATTCTTTTATTTGTGTCCATCTGGATATCAATATCAATCAATCGACCCTCAAATATGTCCTTTCTGATGTATCTATAATATATAGGAACATAGCTTCTATTGCAGCTGGAAACCATGGAATTCTAGTGGTTGTTGATGGGTATAATTTTGGAAATGCTAGCGGGATGGCTCCTCGTTCACAATAACTATTCTTTAACTTTAGTTAAAAGTTATTGTGCCATGATTATGATGGTTTATTTTATTTTAGATTATGAATGCATTTCTTTTCAATTTTCACAGAATTGTTGTTTACAAGGCACTATACAAGGGATTTGGAGGATTTGCTACAGATGTTGTTGCAGCTATTGATCAGGTACATATATAGACAGACAAGTACTCAGTGTTGTTTATGCCATTTACGTCAGGCTTAATATTATGACTAATTTGATTGTTTACATGCAGCTCAAGATAGAGTTGATATAATATGCTTGTCAATCACTCCAAATATGCGTCCTCCCGGTATTGCAACTTTCTTCAACCCAATAGACATGGCATTGTTATCAGCTATAAAGGCTGGCATTTTTGTTGTGCAAGCTGCTGGAAATACTGGACCTTCAGCTATGAGCATGTCCTCCTTTAGCCCATGGATCTTTACTATTGGTGTCACCTCTCATGATCGAGTTTACAACAACTTACTATCTCTTGGAAATAATGTGACTATACTCGGAGTTGGACTTGCACGTAAAATTCTGTTGCTCTAATCTTGGTTAGCTATACATGACTTTATTTTTTAGACTAACACTTTACGTGCATTGCTGAAGTTCCTCGATGAATGATGAAATGGTTATGTATATAGTAATGGCTTGTTCCTCATGTAACAACTTAGCTTTAGAAATTTTCATAATTGAGTCGCGTTTCCAAGCTGTAAATTTCGGATACAACTTGCAATTTGTAAAAACTGTTAATTTGGTTAATAAACCAAATTTAGCAATACTGGTTTTACATTGTTATGAACTTCCAACCTTCCAATCTTTAAAATATTTTGATTGTTAACCGATTCTTTAATATATATATATATATATATATATATATATATATATATATATATATATATATATATATATATATATATATATATATATATATATATATATATATATATATATATATATATATATATATATATATATATATATATATATATATATATATATATATATATATATATATATATATATATATATATATATTAAAAAAAAGTGTTATTACAAAAAAAAAAAACTTCTTAGGTCGGTTAATTATACCTGATTTAAGAAAGTAAGTTCTTAGGTCGGGTATAAATGGTTTCTGCAGGCTAGACTTATTAAGTCGGGTTCTGTCTAACCGACCTAATAATAGTTTGTTAAGTCAGGTCCACAACCGACTTAAGAAGTCAAAACTTCTTATGTCGGTAATTCTTAAGTCGGACTCGGACCCGACTTAAAAAGTCATTTTTAACCGACTTAAAAAACCTTTTTCCCACTAATGGTTCTTTATGTCAAAAGATATTTAATAATTGAGAACTTATTCTAATGTCGCAATATATGTTCCTTGGCTTAGGAAAAATTTATAACCTATAATCATGTTTAACAAATTAGGTTATGGTACTAAGATTGAATATGATATGTTAAGAGTTTCGCGGGTGCATTGATAACTTATAAGGGGTCTAAAATGTGTGCATTACACATTTTGGATGATTTCAGTATTATAGACCATGCATCATTAGTTAGTCTATATTTTAATAATAAAATCAATCTATGACATTTAAGGTTGTGTCATCTTAATCATAAAGGTTTAGTTGAGCTATCTAAACAAGGTTTGTTAGGAGTTAATAAAATGGATAAAGTAGAGTTTTGTGATAATCATTTATCATGCCAATAACCTATTTTTCTATCTGGAAGCGACATGCATAACTCTTGTGGACCTTTTGAGTACATTCACTAAAATCTTTGGGGTATTGAAATAATGTCTAATCATGGCGGTGGTTTATATTTTCCCACTATGGTTAGTGATTTCTCTTAAAGGGTATGAGTTTCACGTATAAAAATAAGTAAAAGTGAAGCCTTTTGTATAAATTAAGGAATAACATACTATTGAAAAGAAATCAAATAGGAAATAAACTAAAAATTTTGATAACTCACAATAGCATGAAGTTTGTTTCATAGTAGTTTAATGAGTTTGGATACATGAACATAGTGGTGTCACTGGTGTGAGATTTAGGATGGATGATGTTGAAATCGTCGGCACTCCTTTGAGTCAACTCAAAAAAAATTTGGTCATGAAATATCCTTAATTTGAGGATGAGAAGAAAAAGATGGAGAATGCTCCTTACCCAAGTGATTTTGGAAGTATCATGTATAACATAGTTTGTAATTGGTCAGACTTAGCATTATAATTGCCATAGTAAGTTGGTTTATGAAAAATCCAGGTCATATGTATTGAAAAAATTTGAAGTTGTTTTTTTAGATATTTGAATGAATCTTTGAAAGGTGGTTCGAAATACATAAGAATAACTCAAGAGGAAAATGCTTTAGAGAGATATGCAGAAGTACGCTATGTTGAAAATGTGGATACTACAATATCCTTATCTGGTTATATGTCTACATTGTTTGTGACAATTATTAGTTGGAAGAAAAATCATGAGTTTGTTGTAACATTATCTACAACTCAAACAAAGTACATTTTCTTTGTTGAGAGGTGAAAGAAGCTATTTGTTCAAAGGGCGTGATTGGAGAGTTAAGAATTACTCAAGAATGTGTGAAGATTAGGGGCGACAAAGTGGGCGGCCCGCCTCATTTAAATCCGTCCAAAAGTGGGGCGGGACGGACCAACTTAAGCGTTCGAGCTCAAAAGCCAATGATGTCCTATTTTTTAACGAGTTGGCCGGTCGGCCCGCTAGTTTTTTATTTTTTATTTTACAATTTGATTTATTACATAATTTTAAAAAAAAAATATTTATTATCAAAGAGGTCGACAAAATATTTTTTTTAACGCATAATAGAACTTCAACATGTCTTAAGTTCAAACAGTTCAAAAAATGAAATAAATAAAGATCAATTACAACCAAAAAATGAAATAAACTTAAGCACAATAAAAACGTGTCAAAAATAAATAAACAATATATATCATCTTAATCTTATTTAAAAACTAACTACTAAAAGAATCAAATTAAGAATTTATAAAAGACAAACAACGATAACAATTACACTCTAAAACATCAGAAACTAGTAGTGCATAAAATATCAACACTTGACTTTCTCACTCTTTACATCATATAGACTTTTATTTTGACCGATTCCTTAATAGTTAAATCCTAAATTTTTCACATGTATACACTAATCAAATCCTTCCTTTTCTTAAAATCAACATCTATTTCTAAAGAAAACATGTGAGTTAATGTTTGACAACTTAATAATTCAGCAAACCATACAATTGTTCTTTTATTTCAAGTTTTTCAAATCAACACATGTATTAGAAAGTTATAGACAGAACGTTACAATTATAATTCAATTTGTTTGTATAATAATTTATAATACAATTCAATCAACATAATTCTAAAAGAAAAATGTTGTTTTTATAGTTAAAGTTGTTTTAATTCTAAGTAAGAAAATAAAAAAGTTTTAACAAAAAATCCGTGGGCAAAATCCGCCCCGCCCCGACCCAACCCGATTTTTTAGTGGATTAGGTGGGACGGGCCAACTTAAAGTATCGAGCCGAAAACCTCAGTTCAGCCCGCCAAAAATGGTGGGTCAAATGGGTCGACCCGGCGGGTCCAACCCATTTTGCCACCCTTAGTGAAGATACATTGTAATAGGCAAAGTGTCATCTATATGGCTAATCATCAAGTGTATTACGAAAGGAAAAGACGCATTGACATTCATGTGTACTTTATTACATACATGATTGAATCAAAGGAAATTAAGGTTAAGAAAATTATTTGAAAAAAATAGTTTGGAGAATGTGTCCACCAAGTCATTACTTAAATCAAGGTCCAATAGTTATTTGAACTTGATGAATTTTATTGAAGTATAATTTAAGAATCAAAGAGATTAACAAGGTGGGTGGTTGACAGTTAAAATGGCATTGCCATCAATTTGAATGTAAGGTGGAGATTTGTTATATATGCTTTAAAATCTCTTCATTGCTGATGTTTTAGTTCTTCCTCACACGAGACAAATGTTTTGATTTCTGAACCAAATATAAGCCTTTATTTCATTTTGGCTATATTTTAGTCTTTAGAGGCCAAAAGAAGAAACTTTATGGGAAAATAATAAATAAGGGTTTAGTGCTTTTAGAAGACATCTATTGGGCTCAGAAACACATTAGAAACACATTTATTTATGAGATTTTATTAGATGATGGATTAAGCTTTCTCTATTATTTTTTCTTATGACGTTCTTATAGATTGAGTATAAAACGTAAGAGATAAAAATTATGGATTATTCTTTAAGATTTTTAAAAGCTAATTTCTCGTTGTTTCTTTCTAAATTTTACAACAATTTATTTAAAGTTGATTGGACAATTATTTCTTTATCATAAGTAGATTTTTTTGGATCAGATTAAATAAACAAATTGATAAGAAGAATTTTGTTACTACCATAAACTAGGGTTCTACTCAAAGGAAAAAGTTAATATTGAAGAGAAATGAAAACATATCAATTTTCGGCTGGAAATAGATACAACAACTCTATAAATACAATATAGTAATTGAACTTAAGACAAACACTGGGCTGAGCCCACTTGAAGGAAAAAAAACATAAACTAAGTCTAAAATAAAAGATTAGTGCATAAAGAAATCTTGTTGCCAAAGGGGTTTTCTCATAATTTGCATGGCCCTGTTATGTTGTTTATCACTGCTATCCGGCCCAAGAAAAACCTTGTCCTCAAGGTTGGAGTGATGTATTAATGAATCCGACCCATAAAGTGCAGTATCTTTTTGAAAATTAGGCCCAAGATATGAATGGGAACCAGGCTATGAGGTGGAAAAAGTTGGGGTCGAGGGAATATTAATGTGGTGTGGGGAAGTGTGATAAGAAGAAATTTCATCAGTTTGATTTAAGGATAGAGGTGAGAGAGGGACATGATGTGTGTCCTGTTGTAGGAGAGGTGAAGAGATCCATTGGAGATCCAACTGTTGGAAAAAAGGTCTCGGTTTGTGGGAAAAAGCAAGAGGCATGGGGTTAGGTAATATAGAGACAAAAGAGGGTGGCTGAGTAGGCTTATGGGGAAAAGGTGGAGTAAAAGGCGGGCCAGCTGGAGCTTCACGTGGGAAAGTCACATGGGGAAGAATTTTAGTGTTAAGTGGGTTCCTTAGTTTAGTCTGAAGTGGAATTTTGGAAGAGGATCTAATGTTTTTTTAGGGTGGGGATTGAGAGTTAAGAAGATTCGACGGTGGAGAGAAAACGGAGGGGTCTATAGAATTCTGGTGGGATT